CCCGTCTCGGCCTCCCAAAGTGCTGGGATTACAGGCTTGAGCCACCGCGCCCGGCCCGAAAAGCTCTTATTTCTATTTGGCGCATTTAATGTCCTAGTAGCTGGCATTTTGTAAGAGGATATGTTTTATTGGCAACAGTCCTAAAATTCAGTAAAGTCATTGGCTCATGGGAATGTGTCTTTGACAGTTTATTCATTAAGCAAATATTTCCTGACTCCTACTCTGTTCTGGGCCTGGGCTCAGTCCTGGGGATGCTGAGGAGGAGAGGTCTAAATTGTTGATCCTCTGTCAACAAAGACTCACTGAGTCTCTCAAGCTCTGGCCACAAAATGAAGTACAAGACAGCAAGGGCTTCTTGGCCCGTGTGGGAGGATAAGCTACCTGGAAGTTTTAGTGCTAGGTGATTTTTATTGGTTGCTAATTACATCTAATAATTGTTATTGATGGAAAGCTAATTTCCCTAATTACCAATGCATTTATTCTGGTGATTCTTTTATCATAGCAGAAGATGGCTGTGCCACCCACGTATGCTGATCTTGGCAAATCTGCCAGGGATGTCTTCACCAAGGGCTATGGTGAGTGTTGCAGAGAACGGGTGCCTTTCAGCCCCCAGACTGAGTTGGCATGTTTGAGACTTTACCGATAACTGTTTAGGAGACCTGGGTAGGTCAGCTGTTCTGAACTTTCACGTGAAGGAAAAAAGAAGCTTTCATTTGTGTGGCAAATGAAGCAGTTTTGGTTGTGCCCCCAGTTGGACGGGCTCCTGCATTGATGCTGTCAAGTGGGTATTCCTGTTTTCTCTTCCAAGTGTGGAGCAACCCTGTGGAAGCTGCTGCAGTGGAGCGCGGCTTCTATATTTAGCCTGTGCTTAGGCACATGCCCACGAGGCCTGATGACTGTGTCTCTGCCAGCTGTCAGGCATCTTCTTCTCAAACCCTGCTGGGAGTGCAGGTGGGACCCAGGTGGGCCTGTGCCCATTCTGTCTGCTGCTGTTCCATGGCAGCTGAACTCCCCCCACGAGCAGCAGCAGAGACTGGATGCCCTCAGCCCGTGTGGCAGTAATGTACTTCTTCTAAAAAAGCATTTCGAAGCAACCGTGAGGGAGGCAGAGGTGCTGTTCTCTAGATAGTTATTTAACCTATTAACAGTTGTCTTCTTCTTTCTTTAGGATTTGGCTTAATAAAGCTTGATTTGAAAACAAAATCTGAGAATGGATTGGTAAGTTGTCCAACCCACGTGGAACATGAGTATTTATTTATTTTTATTTTATTTTATTTTATTTATTTATTTTTGAGATGGAGTTTCGCTGTTGTCACCCAGGCTGGAGTGCAATGGCATGATCTCAGCCCACCGCAACCTCCACCTCCAGGGTTCAAGCGATTCTCCTGCCTCAGCATACCGAGTAGCTGGGATTATAGGCGCATGCCACCATGCCCGGCTAATTTTGTATTTTCAGTAGAGACAGGGTTTCTCCATGTTGGTCAGTCTGGTCTTGAACTCCCGACTTCAGATGATCCGCCTGCCTTGGCCTCCCAAAGTGCTGGAATTATAAGCATGAGCCACCACACCTGGCTTATTTTTATTTTGAAAAAAGATTTTAGATTCAGGCTATACATGTACAGGTTTGTTACATGGATGTATTGTGTAATGGTGAGGTTTGGGTTTCTAGTGTACCCATTACCCAAATAGTGACCATTGTATGGAACATGGGAATTTGTTGTAGATCAACAAATAACTGTCATGACATGGCTGGCAAAACCAAAAGAAGGTACTTTTTAAAAAAAATTCTGGCAGTTTGTGGTTTTCACATTCAGTCCATTTTCTACATGATGGGTGGTCCAGGGGAACCATGCCAATAGGCCCCCAATTCAGCAGCGGGTAATACTCAGAGCAGAATGGGGCAGGTCTCAGTTTCAGTTTTCCTTGTGCTTCTTATTTTCAAGTTCACCTGTGTTCAACCACATAAGTGTTTTTAAAGTAATCTTAGTAGTCCCTTTTAAATTGTGTGTGCAGTAATTGTTGGAAGGAAGAAGTTTTGGGTTTGAGTTACTGCTGTGTCAGCTTTAGCTCAGTGCTTTTTTTCTGTACCGGGCTGGAGCCAGGATGGAGGGGAGATGCTTTCCTGTCCAGACTGAAGAGTTACAGGGAGGAAGGAAGCTGTCTGCTGACAACGAATTCCCCATAAGATTTCTTTACATAGCAGGCTCCTTTACTCCCATCTGTACTTTAAATATCTATTTGAATTGTAGAGTTAGCCTTAGCCCTGCCACATTCAGGGTCTTGCCTCTTGCAGAAAGGCAAGTGTAGTGTTTAGAAGTGGAGTGAAGCCAAGTGAGTGCTGTGGTACAGGCTGTGACTCTCTCTCTCCTTTGAAGGAATTTACAAGCTCAGGCTCAGCCAACACTGAGACCACCAAAGTGACGGGCAGTCTGGAAACCAAGTACAGATGGACTGAGTACGGCCTGACGTTTACAGAGAAATGGAACACCGACAATACACTAGGCACCGAGATTACTGTGGAAGATCAGGTAATGGCTGCTGTGAAAAGACACGGATTTGCTAATTCACATCTGCCGGCCTGCCTTGTGACTAAACCTACTGGCAAATTTCTTTTCTGTTCAGCTTGCACGTGGACTGAAGCTGACCTTCGATTCATCCTTCTCACCTAACACTGGGTAAGATTCTCATCTGTTTTCTCCACAAGGATGTCCTCTTATGTTGCAGGTGGTGGAAGCCCTTTGTGACAAAATGTTTTGGGGGCTGATAACACCTAAAATATGGCCTCCAAGACCTGGCGATTTAAGTCCTCTGGTTTTAATTTGGTCCTGGGGTCGTACCCACATCTATGCATTAACAGACTGTGCTATAATGAGCGCTTCCTAATTCAGGATTGGTGTTTACCCAACAAATGTTTTCTAAGTGCTGCCTGTGCTTGGCCCTGTGCCCATCTGGAGATCTACGGATGCCCAGGCCATGATTGTTACCCACAAGGAGCTCACTTTCTAATAGAGGATTCAGAGCAGTGTTTAGCAGTGTTTCGTAATAAGATTCTGCATTTTGTTAGTGCTCTCCTGGCTTCAGCCATGGAGGCTGCAGGATTTCTGGTTCAGTAATAGCCATTTCATGTGAGTTAGGCTGCTGGTGATGTAAGTGGCCATGGCCAAATGGGAGTGGGTGACATTTGGAAGCAGGGCCTAACTGGTCACTGTTGCCAGCCTCATTTCTTGAGGTGTGGAAGTCCTTATCCCATCTTCCTGCTTAGGGACACTGAGACCCTGTGGATGTAACTGCAAGGTGGCTCCTGAGGCTGCAAGGTGGCTCCTGAGGCTGCACTTTCTCCAGGCCTTCTGGCCACAGATGTATTAGGCTTGTTAGTTCTTAACCCATCAGTTGGCAAGATTGTATGGCGGTCTGCCTCAATTCCTGGGTGCTTTTCAAAGTGCCTAGAAGGAATTACTCCCTTTTAGAATACACCCTTGTTTTTTCCCACTCATATTGGTGGGTCTTCTAAACCTGGGGAAGATTGTTTTGTATGCTGATGATGGGATCAAGGGCATGTACTGAATTTCAGTTTTTAAAAATTGTGGCCTGGGTGTGGTGGCTCACGCCTGTAATTCCAACACTTTGGGAGGCTGAGGCAGGCAAATCACCTGAGGTTGGAAGTTTGAAACCAGCCTGGCCAAAGTGGAGAAACCCTGTCTCTACTAAACATAAAAATTAGCTGGGCATGGTGGGCGCATGTCTGTAAGCCCAGCTACTTGGGAGGCTGAGGCAGGAGAATTGCTTGAACCTGGGAGGCAGAGGTTGCCGTGAGCCTAGATGGCGCCATTGCATTGCAGCCTGGGCAAGAAGAGTGAAACTCCATCTCAAAAAAAAAAAAAAAAAAAAGGGTTGGATGCAGTGGCTCATGTCTGTAATCCTAACACTTTGGGAGGCTGAGGTGGGTGGATTGCTTGTGGTCAGGAGTTTGAGACCAGCCTGGGCAACATGGCAAAACCCCATCTCTAATAAAAATACAAAAATAGTCCCAGCTACTTGGGATGTTGAGGCATGAGAATTGCCTGAACCCAGGAGAGAGAGGTTGCTGTGAGCTGAGATCGCACCACTGTACTCCAGCCTGGGCTACAGAGAGAGACTCTGTCTCCAAAAAAAAAAAACTTGTGGTAAGATATACATATAAAACTTAACATCTTTAAGTGGTGTAGTTAAATGGCATTATCAATTTTTCAGTTTTGCCATTTCATGTATTTTTTTTCTTTCTTCCTTTGTTCCTTTCCCACAAATATTTATTAGAGGGAGGATCTACCAAGTCCAGACCTGTGTTGGGTGTGCGGTCCACACAAGTGACTGGGCACACAGGGTTCCTACCCTCTGGAGATGTCTTCTTATAGCCTGGCTATAGATGATCTGAAGAGACCATTGTTAAGGGGCTGATTTACTCTCATTCCTCCTCTCTGCTGTAGTTTCTTCTGCAAGACCACTGCCTTCTTGCAGTGCTGTGTACTTTCCCCCCAGGAACTCTGCCATGATATCAGGGAGAGGTTATACAGAAAGATCCTGGGATAGGATGAGGGGCTGGAGGATGTGCCCACATGCTTGAATTTGCTGCCTGGGACTTTGCCTGCTGCCCTGGGATAGCATACTTTGGAATTTGTAGGCAATTTCCTTCTCATTACCTTAGGGAGCTTTGCAGAGGTCTTCAGGCCCTGCAGTATAAAAACGCAAAGGAAAGGTTTTTTGCTTTTTTTTTTTTTTTGGGGTGTAGGGGGGACGGAGTCTTGCTCTGTTGCCCAGGCTGGAGTGCAGTGGTGTGATCTTGGCTCACTGCACCCTCCTCCTCCTGGGTTCAAGTGATTCTTCTGCCTCAGCCTCCCAAGTAGTTGGGACTACAGACATGGGCCACCACACCTGGCAAATTTTTGTATTTTTAGTGGAGATGGGGGTTTCACCATATTGGCTAGGCTGGTCTCGAACTTCTGACCTCGTGATCTGCCTGCCTTGACCTTCCAAAGTGCTGGGTGGGTTCACGTGTTTCTCCTGCGTCAGCCTCCTGAGTAGCTGGGATTACAGGAATGCGCCACCACACCCAGCTAATTTTGTATTTTTAGTAGAGACGGGGTTTCTCCATGTTGGTCAGGCAGGTCTTGAACTCCTGACTTCAGGTGATCTGCTTGCCTCAGCCTCCCAAAGCGCTGGGATTACAGGTGTGAGCCACTGCACCCACCCTTTTTTAAAAAAATTTACTTTTTATTTCAAAGTAATTTTATACTTAGAAAAATATGGTAAAAATAGTATGCAGAGTTCTCCTGTGTTCTTCCCCCAGCTTCCCCTAATGTTATTGGCTTATATAACTATAATGATCAGAATCAGCAAGTTAATGTTGATATCATACACTTAATCTGTTGTCACAATGGCATCTTTTTTCTGATCTGTGATCCAGTTCAGGATCCTAAATTGCATCTAATTGTTTTTTTTTTTTTTGGGGGGGGCGGAGTCTCTCTCTGTTGCCAAGCTGGAGTGCTATGGCATGATCTCGGCTCACTGTAACCTCCGACTCCCTGGTTCAAGTGATTCTCTACTTGGGAGGCCTCAGCCTTCCAAGTAGCTGGGATTACATGCATGAGCCACCGCACCCGGCCAATTGCATCTAATTGTTAAGTCTTCCCTAATCTGGAATATTTTCTGACCCTGACACTTTTGAAAAAGAGTGGCCAATTATTTTGTTAAGATGTCCGTCAGTTTGGATTTGTCTGATGCTTCCTTATGATTAAATTCAGGTTTTACATTTTTGGCAACCATAGAAGTTATTGTGTTGTATTCTTCTCAGCATGTGATGTTAGGAAGAATATTATCAATATGCCTCATTTTTGGTGATCAGTTTTGAAGTGGTGTCTGCCAACTGTCTTCACTGTAAAGCTACTATTTTTCTCTTTGTAATTAGTAAGTATCTTGTGGGTAGACACTTTGAGATATGCAGATACTCTATTTCTCATCACACCTTTGCTGACAAATAGTAACATCCATTGATGATTCTTGCCTGCAACAGTTACGCTTGACAAATGATGACTGGAGTGCAATGGTATGATCCTGGCTCGCTGCAACCTCTGCCTCCTGGGCTCTAGCAGTCCTCCTTTTCAGCCTCCCAAGAAGCTGAGACCACAGGCGCGTGCCACCAAGCCCAGCTAATTTTTGTATTTTTGGTAGAGATGAGGTTTCACCATGTTGGCCAGGCTGGTCTGGAACTCCTGAGCTCAAGCGATCCACCTTTCTCAGCCTCCCAAATTGCTGGGATTACAGGTGTGAGCCACCACGCCTGGCTACAAATGGTGATTTTCTTTTCTTTTTTGTTTTTTTGAGGTGGGGTGTCACTCTGTCACCCAGGCTGGAGTGCAGTGGTGTGATCTCGGCTCATTGCAACCTCTGCCTCCCCGGCTCAAGGGATCCTCCCTCCTCAGCCTCCCCAGTAGCTGGGACTACAGGTGCCTGCCACCACCCCTGGCTGATTTTTATATTTTTGGTAGAGACAGTGTTTCACCATGTTGCTCAGTCTGCTCTCGAATTCCTGAGCTCAAGTGATCTGCCTACCTTGGCCTCCCAAAATGTTGGGATTACAGGTGTGAGCCACCACACCCGACCTCAAATGGTGATTTCCTATTGCCATCCTTCCTTCACTTGTTACTTGGTATTCTATTGTAAGGAAGAGCTATTCCTTCTTTCCCATGTATTTATTCAATCAATTATTTATTTATATTAGTATAGATGCATGGACATTTAATCTATGGGCTATAATCCACAGTGTCATTTATTTTGTTGCTCAAGTTGTCCCAGATATGGCCTTTGGGAGAATACATCTTGTGTGCTTTTTGACAAACCTCTGTCATTTTTCAGAGCATGTCTTTATTTCTGGTTTCAGAAAATATACGATGCTCATCTAGTACTTGTTTTTCCCCAGTCCTGCTGTCTGCCATTTCTCCAAGGAACCTTGGTTCTTTATGTTGGAGAATGATGTTTAGAAACTAAGATTGTGGGCCTGGTGTGGTGGCTCATGCCTGCAATCCCAGCACTTTGGCGTGCCGAGGCAGGCGGATCACGAGGACAGGCGTTTGAGACCAGCCTGGCCAATGTGGTGAAACCCTGTCTTTACTAAAAATACAAAAATTAGCTGGCTGTGGTGGTGCACACCTGTAATCCCAGCTACTCAGGAGGCTGAGGCAGGAGAATTGCTTGAACCCAGGAGGTGGATGTTGCAGTGAGCTGAGATCATACCACTGCACTCCAATGTGGGCGACAGAGCAAGACTCCGTCTCAAAAAAAAAAAAAAAAAAAAAAAAAACTAAAATTCTGGGTGCTAGGTGTACATATTGCTACTGGGTATTTGAGGAAAGTTCTGGTGATGCATGATGGAGATTAGAAATGAAAGCTGGCTTTCCAAAGTGACTGAGGGTACAGCCTGGGAAAACACCTGGCTCCCAGGAGGAGCTGAGTGTAGACCACATCTGGATGAGGCTGCAGACCTCAATAAGGACCAGCACCCACACTGAGTATCTACCACAAATAAAGCTTGCTTGTTAACTACAAATCAGTCAGGCCTCTCTCGGGTGCTTGTCAAATTAGCACTACTGTTGAAATAGCTTAAAAATAAATCCCAATAATATCTGAAAAAGGAAGACTCCACAGACATAGTGTGCAGTGTTAGAAAGAGACCTGGAGAGAAGCCTGAGCACTCCCTAGCACTGCCCTTTCTCTTGGGGATCGTGGGCCCTGGCCAGAATCCAGTGAGACAGTGGGTGGGGGGTGCCATGTAAACTGGTGCAGGTGGTGCACACCACTGGTCAGAGGCCCTGCCACAGGCATCATAGTTTGTGACCATCAGCAGCTTTTTATTAAAAATTAAAAAAGAAGATGGTTAGAAGATGCGTGATTTTATATTTCTTGGTCTTTTTGCCTTTCTAAATGTCAGCCTCTCAACAGCTGTCTAATCATCAGTCATCTCAACCAGCCTGGTGCCAATCACATACTTGTTCGAAACCCAGGCTTCTTTCCCCAGAGAGCAGGCAGATGAAGATAGGTTTCTTTTTCTTTTTTGTTGAGACAGTCTCACTCTGTCGCCCAGACTGGAGTACAGTGACGTAATTTCAGCTCACTGCAACTTCCACCTCCCGGGTTCAAGCAATTCTCGTGCCTCAGCCTCCTGAATAGCTGGGATTACAGGCACATGCCACCATGTCCTGCTAATTTTTGTATTTTTAGTAGAGACAGGGTTTTCCCATGTTGGCTAGGCTGGTCTCCAACTCCTGACCTCAAGTGATCTGCCCCCCTTGGAGTGCTGGGATTACAAGTGTGAGCCACTGCGCCTGACCAGTTTTGGATTTTTCTTATTGAGAGATAATTTAGTTGTTACTCCTTTCCTTCAAACCTTGCCAAAATGTATAGAAGTAACTTAAACAAAGTTGAGGTTCCAAGGCATGTTTCATTGTCACTTGTTCTGTTGGTGAGCAGGTCTGTGCACACCTACCACCCAACTGCTGAGGGAGCTGAGCAGCCAAAGAAAGAGACTGACAAATCCAGTTTCTCGGAAAGAAACATTTAATAGAGACTTGCAAATAGAAGCAGTGTCTCAAGCAGCCAAGAGACAGTGGATCCTTGCACTTATCCTCCAGAAAGTATTCTTTATATAGCAAGCTTTTAGAGTAAAGACGTGTGCATGTCTTAGACCGTCTTGTAAAAAACTTGCAAAACTTGGACCACAGGGAAGTTAGATAAGCATCTTTTCTTTTTTTATTTTTATTTATTTATTTTTTTGAGACAGAGTCTCACTCTGTCACCCAGGCTGGAATGCAGAAGCATGATCTTGACTCACTGCAACCTCTGCCTCCCGGGTTCCAGCGATTCTCCTTCCTCAGCCTCCTGAGTGTCTGGGACTACAGGTGCGTGCCACCACACCCAGCTACTTTTTATATTTTTAGTAGAGATGGAGTTTTGCCATGTTTTCCAGGCTGGTCTTGAACTCCTGACCTCAAGTGATCCACCTGCCTTGGCCTCTAAAAGTGTTAGGGTTACAGGTGTGAGCCACTGTGCCTGGCTGGCATTATTTCTTTTATGGGATTGTCTGTGATGTATTTCTTGGTTGTCATGGCTGTATTAGGCTGTTCTTGCATTGCTCTAAAGAAATACCTGGTCAGGCGAGGTGACTCATGCCTGTAATCCCAGCATTTTCGGAGGCTGAGGCAGGCAGATTGCGTGAGCCCAGGAGTTGGAGTCCAGCCTAGGCAACATGGTGAAACCCCATCTACACACACAGGCACACACACGCTAGCTGGGCGTGGTGGTGCACACCTATAGTCAGTTCCAGCTGCCTGGGAGGCTGAGGTGGGAGGATCACCTGAGCTCAGGAGGTAGGGGCTGTAGTGAACCATGATCACACCACTGCACTCCCGCCTGGACAACAGAGTGAGACCATGTCTCAAAAAAAGAAAAAAATACGTGAGGATAGGTAATTTATGAAGAAAAGAGGTTCAATTGGCTCATGGTTCTGCAGGCTGTAGAAGCATAGTACAAGCATAGCACAGGCATCTGCTCGGCTTCTGGGAAGGCCTCAGGAAGCTTTTAGTCATGGCGATTGATGAAGCAGGAGCAGACACATCACATGGCAAGAGCAGGAGCGAGAGAGAGAGAGTCGTGGGGAGGTGCCACAGTCAAACAACCAGATCTCATGATAACTCATTATTGCAAGGACAGCACCAATCCATGGGGGATCCACCCCCATGATCTAATCACCACCCAGCAGGTCCGACAGTGGGGACTGCATTTCAACATGAGATTTAGAGGGTACAACATACAAACTGTATCAGTGGTGGTTTTGCTTCAAGATGGTGTCACTCTTGCCATGGAACAGGCTATTTTCCTACATCACTTGGGAGGGGGGTGTTGGCCTTATTTTCAACTGCGACCTCTAAAATTCTTGTCTCATTGAGAATTTGGAATGTTTAACCTTTATTTATTTATTTTTTAAATGAGAAATTTGAAACATACAAAAACATACAAAAAAAAAGTTTAATCCTCATTCTATTCCTATCACACAGTTTTGATAGTTACCAACCCTGTGGCCAATCATGTTTTATTTATACAGCCATAAATATAGCACTCCTCCATGCCCATATTATTTTAAATAAAAAACAGCACATAATTTCATCTGTAAGCATTTTATTATGTATCTTTAAATGGCAAGATTCCATTTTAAAGGAGCATAACCATGGTATTATTATTATATTGAAAAAAGTTGATATTTCTTTTTTTCTTTTTTCTTTTTTTTTTTTTTTTTTAAGATGGAGTTTCACTCTTGTTGCCCAGGCTGGAGTGTAATGACGCAATCTCAGCTCACCGCAACCTCTGCCTCCCGGGTTCAAGTGATTCTCCTGCCTCAGCCTCCCGAGTAGCTGGGATTACAGGCATGCGCCACCACACCCGGCTAATTTTGTATTTTTAGCAGAGACAGGGTTTCTCCATGTTGGTCAGGCTGGTCTCGAACTCCCAACCTCAGGTGATCCACCTGCCTTGGCCTCCCAAAGTGCTGGGATTACAGGCATGAGCCACTGCGCTTGGCGGATCGTTTTTAATATTGTCAAATCTCTAGTCTCTTGAAACTTACATGATTGTTTCATGATTTTTTTTTTTTTTTGAGACTGAATTTTATTCTTGCTACCCAGGCTGGAGTACAGTGGCGCGATCTTGGCTCACTGCAACCTCCACCTCCCAGGTTCAAGTGATTCTCCTGCCTCAGCTTCCTGAGTAGGTGAGATTACAGGTGCGCGCCACCACGCCCAGCTAATTTTTGTATTTTTAGTAGAGATGGGGTTTTGCCATGTTGGCCAGGCTGGCTTTGAACTCCTGACCTCAGGTGATCCACCTGCCTCGGCCTCCTAAAGTGTTGGGATTATAGGTGTAAGCCACCGCACCCAGCCTCTTGCTGTTTTTAAAATAACAGGTTGGTTCTCTAGTCTCTAAAGATGACAGCTATGTGATTTGAGTGTTATTATAATTATTTATTTATTTATTTGTTTTTTTGAGATGGAGTCTTACTCTGTTACCCAGGCTGGAGTACGGTGGCGCAATCTTGGCTCACTGCAACCTCTGCCTCCTGGGTTGAAACGATTCTCCTGCTTAAGGCTCGTGAGTAGCTGGGATTACACATGCCTGCTACCACGCTCAGCTAAGTTTTGTATTTTTAGTAGAGACAGTGTTTCACCATGTTGGCCAGGCTGGTCTCCAACTCCTGACCTCGTGATCCACCTGCCTCAGCCTCCCAAAGTGCTGGAATTACAGGCATGAGCCACCGCGCCCGGCCCTGAGTGTCATTATAATGCCTAGAATAAACATATTGTTTAATATGTTTCAGCCTTTTGCTGATATTTTCCTTAATGAGGCTCACATTGCTCCATTGTTGAATCCCTTGGGAGCCTCTTCAGGTTAGCTTGTAAGTCCTTTTGCCTCCACCCCAGTAGTCTTCAATAGCTTTGATAGATGTTTTAGGTCACTGTGTACATCTCCTGCCTAAGATCTATAGTCAGCCATTTCTCCAAGGAGCACTGGTTCCATTTAGGAGGAAATGGTCTAGGTGCTGAGGATGAAGCATTAATCTCAATGTGAATAAAGCTAGAAGTGAACAGTGCTGTGTAGTCCTTGGGGCTCTGAGTGGATCTGGTTCCTCCTGTGGTCTCTGCTGAGAATGCAGCTTCCTGTGGGAGATGTCGATCTTGTAACTGAATGATAGAAACAATCAGATAAAAATGGCCCATGTTTTATTTGTTCGATGTGATCTTGTTCTCCGGTGGGTACTTCTGGTAAAAGACATGGTAATAATAGGTCTGCAGGTAACACTATTCACCTGCTCTTCCTAGGGCATGCTGGGTCTTGAGGAACAGGCAGTACAAACACTGAACTGCTTATACACTCACATCTGATATCATCAGGTTGGACCTGGGGTACTGTCTGACTAACTAACACTTCCTGGCCCCCATGTCTGCAGAGTTCCAGGTTCTATATTAGTACCCGGTTCTCTGAAATATGTACTCATTGGGGTCTCATGAATATGTAATTGAAATCCATTTTACTGTTGTATTCACTTGGAAGGAAGGAACATAGCCTATGTTTCCTTACTTAACTGTGTGAGCCACAGAGTAAGAAGATAACCGTCTCTTTAAAAGCTGCTATTTAGGTAGCTGTCTTCATGGCAGATAAATCTTTTCCCCAGGTTTGGAAAATATCAAAGATGCATCTGTCTCATAATTACATGGTGGCTTTCTACCTAATGAATGCCTGTGTAGGCTGCTACATTAAGCATACAAAGAGGATAGGACAAGGAAGTTACTTCGTATTTATTTTCCAGGCTTTTCCTGTCTGTGTTCTCACTTCATTAGTGTGGGTTTCTGCACACTGGGTCCCCGTGGAAGAGAGGTTGTGTCCTGCTCATTGTGGTACGGCAGTGCCTTAAGGGAGAACTGGAGCCCTGACTTCACCCCCACCCCACTCCCTTTATTTGACCTAGGATTAAAAAAAAAAAAAAAAGCATTTCAAGGTGAGTTAGCTTCTGATCTTAATACAACTTCTTTTCCTTCAGGAAAAAAAATGCTAAAATCAAGACAGGGTACAAGCGGGAGCACATTAACCTGGGCTGCGACATGGATTTCGACATTGCTGGACCTTCCATCCGGGGTGCTCTAGTGCTGGGTTACGAGGGCTGGCTGGCTGGCTACCAGATGAATTTTGAGACTGCAAAATCCCGAGTGACCCAGAGCAACTTTGCAGTTGGCTACAAGACTGATGAATTCCAGCTTCACACTAATGTGTAAGTGTACATGGGGACAGCGGGGTGAGGGGTGGGGTTGTAGTGTGTGTGATAAGGGGATCGCGTTCATTATTTTTTTTAAAAGAAAGCCCAATTTTTAACCACTGTAAAGTGAGTTTGTTGGCATTAGATGAGCCAGATGGCCTGCTGCTATCATTTGTTTCCCACTTACTCATTTCCTAGAGTGTCTTAGATCCTTTCCACTCTACGAACAGTAAATATTGCCACAGGTACACAAAGTGGCTGATTAATTACAGCAGGGACATGGTGTCAGTCCAGAGCGTGTCCATTCCCTGCAGTTTTTGTTTTAGTTAACAAAACACCTCTCAGCGCTCTTTCTCTGTCTAATGCCTGAGGATTAGCCTGCTGGGCTTGATGACATGTAGACATGGTAGACAAATTTAGGAGCTGATTGTCTGAGTTACAAAGTATCTTCTCTGTACAGTGAAACATGTAAAAGTAACTATTGGACAGTATGGTGAAGGGAAACAGTGATTATAGGTTAGGAGAGAGCCCCTTGAGAACTGAAGTAGATTGATGATTTAGGTTAAGGGAAACACATTTCATTCATGGATCTTGTTTTATCATAAACCTTGTTTTATTCAGTTTCATGAGGAATTAACCTGTGACAGGCACAAGCTGGGTGCAGAGTTACCATGTTTCTTTCTTTCCACTAGAGGTCACTAAAGAAGTAACTTCTTAAGGCAAATCAATGGTATTAATGTGTAAACTAATATTATTTCCATTAATAAATTTTTTGAGGAATTTTTATCATTAATTTGGAATCTGTTACAGGTAAAAAGTCACAGGAAAACTATAGAGATGGACGATCTAGTGGTTGGCAGGGGCTGGGGAGGGTATGACTACAAAGTGGTGATTGAGGGAGTTTGGGGGAGGGAACTGTTCTATATCCTGACTGTGGTCATGGTTACATTAATCTGTGTATGTGTGTTAAAATTCATAAAAATGTATACCAAGAAAATATCCATTTTGGCCGGGTGTGGTGGCTCACGCCTGTAATCCCAGCACTCTGGGAGTCCAAGGCAGGTGGATCACGAGGTCAGGAGTTCAAGACCAGCCTGGCCAAGAAGGTGAAACCCCATCTCTACTAAAAATACAAAAATTAGCTGGGCGTGGTGGCGGGTGCCTGTAATCCCAGCTACTCAGGAGGCTGAGGCAGAGAATTGCCTGAACCTGGGAGGTGGAGGTTGCATTGAGATGAAATCACGTCACTGCACTGCAGCCTGGGCAACAGAGCGAGACTCCATCTCAAAAAAAAAAAAGAAGAAAATATCAATGTTATTGTATGTTTAATTAAGAAAAGGTGAAACATACAAAAAAGCTATAGGAAACATACCACATGCGTAGAAATGTTTTTGAATGTAGAATTCTGATTGGCATGGGAAGTTTTTTCCTTGGTTTAAAATTGGGCATTGGCACCAATTCTAGGAGGAACAATGGCTGTTAGCCATTTCCCCCACATATCTAAGCTTCAACATTTTTAATAACAAGTGGGTATGGTTTATTTTTGGAACCAGCGTGAAGGCAGCTGACACAACTCATTTGGGTTGCCCTGGTGCTTGCAGGGGCCCAGATGCATAACAGAAAGTCTTTGTGCTTCATATAGATGAATTTGAACAGTTCCAGCTGTTTATTTATTATTATTATTTTTTGGTGACAGGTTCTTGCTCTCTCACTCAGACTGGAGTGCAGTGGCACGATCTCTGCAGCCTCCGCCTCCCAGGATCAAGTGATTCTCCCGCCTCAGCCTTGCAAGTAGCTGGGACTACAGGTGCACACCACCACACCTGGCTACTTTTTGTATTTTTTGTAGAGGCAGGATTTCGCCATGTTGCCCAGGTTGTTCTTGAACTCGTGAGCTCAAGCAATCTGCCTGCTTTGGCCTCCCAAAGTGCTGGGATTACAGATTACAGGCGTGAGCCACTGCGTCTGGCCTCTTGTTTATGGTTTTGAAAGCTCTGTATAGGAAGGCAATATTGTGTTCCTGGTTTTGGGATATTCTGAAAAGTCTGGCCTTTTTAAAAACATGTAAGCCCAAGAAACTTCCCCAATTGAATATATTACTAAAGTCATTAAAAATCTGTTATTTTTGACAGGCTGCTGTTTTATTGTAGCATACTTGGGCTGTCTAAAGAAGACAGGATTCCCTGTGAATCAGGCAGTGCCTGGGTCTCCCTGTACTTTCTAGAAGCATAATGTCTGTCTTGCTGAATTTCATGGGGAAGCGAGAATTTACAATGTGTGGCTCGTATGTGTAATCCCAGCTACTTGGGAGGCTGAGGCGGGAGGATCACTTGAGGCCAGGAGTTTGGAACCAGCCTGGGAAACAGAAATACTGTGTCTCTAAGAACATTTTTAAAAATTAGCTGGGCATGGTGGCAACATGCCTGTGATCACTTGAGCCCAGGAGTTTGAGGTTGCAGTGAGCTATGATTTTGCCACTGCTCTCCAGCCTGGGCAACAGAGCAAGATCCCATCTCAGGGAAAAAAAAATTTAGAATGTATTCTGTAATTTAGGGAGAGTGTCTTGTGAAAACTAGAGTTTTTTTTCTTAGGTCCTGAAGCCCTTTGCTGCATTCCAAAGTACATTGGCTCTGACGCACAGTTACCAATGCCATTTCCACTGGAAATGCCCACAATTATGAGGCAGAACTCAGACAATGATTTTATGTTAAAGATGTTTGAGAGGGTTTAGGCAGGCTTGAAGACCATCTAATGCAAGGGGGATGGTCATTCCTTTTTAAAAAATTGCAGCATTAAAATTTTTCTTAATTTTTTTAATCAAAGGAGTCTGAGCCCATGGTTGTAAAATCAAACAGTACAGATGGGCTTATGAAAAGCAGTGATTCCAGCCTGCCTCAGCCTGCTCATCCCACCTCCCCAGTGGCAGCCACTTTAACTGTTTTTGTTTTCTGTGGTTCCCTCTGTGGAGAAGGTTGCTTCTGACCAGGCACCAGTATGCACTGTGCATATAAACAACAATCTGAAAGCAGTAATGAGAGACAGTAAATGATCTGTGCAGACCCCAGCCCGACAGAGGACAAAGTGTAGACTCTCTGAGCTGGCTTTTTTAGTGGTGGCAGTGACTGCAGAGTTTGTATAGGCTGTTCAGCTGGGTGGGGCAGACTTTCAAATTCTGAGAGCTTAAGCAGGCCCCCAAAGAGGAAGAGGAGAATTTGAATGACTGAAGAAGGGAAAAGGATATTCCCAGCAACTGGAGTCATTCAGTGTGTTTGTAAGAGAGGAGGGAGCTTGACCAGCTGGGGTTTCATTCTGAATGTTTCTGAAAGAGCGAGGCATTTTATGATGTAGCAAAAAGCTCCCTTTCAAATCCTGCCGGGACCTTAGATGTTGCAGCATGGGTGAGGAGTGTGCACAGGTGGACGAGATGAATTGTGGATTAAGCTCTTTTGAAGTGCTGCTCCTCCAAGAGGCTGGGTCAGTGCCAACCGTATCTCCCCAGCAGTGGCTGCAGCAGGTTGTGCCAAGGGCTCTAACTTGCCTTCTGAGGCATATGTGCAGCCCTGCCTTTCTTGCCATTTCTGGCTGTGTTCTTTTCTCATTTTCTTCTCTTTCCATACCATTTTTTATTTTTATTTTTATTTTTATTTTTTGAGCCAGAGCCTCTGTTGCCCAGACTGGAGTGCAGTGGTATGATCTCAGCTCACTGCAACCTCTGTCTCCTGGGTTCAGATGATTCTCCTGCCTCAGTCTCCCAGGTTGCTGGGATTATAGGCGCCCGCCACCATGCCCAGCTAATTTTTATGTTTTTAGTAGAGACAGTGTTTCATCATCTTAGCCAGGCTGGTCTTGAACTCCTGACCTCAAATGATCCGCCTGCCTTCCCCTCCCAAAGTGCTGGGATTATAGGCATGAGCCACCGTACCCGGACTTCCGTGCCATTTTTCTGGTAGAATCATTTATAAAAGTAATAACATCAGTGCCAGTATCTGTTATAAGACTCTCAGCTATTTGCTGCTTCTTTTGTATGTATGTGTTGTTGTCCTGTCACCCAGTGTGTTATATGTTTTTTTGTGGTTTGTGATGTGTGTTGTTTAAAGTTTTATCCTGTTTTGTTTTGCCATTTCTCCTGCCTCAGCCCTCCGAGTTGCTGTTGGATATCTGTGGGCTCTTTCTTTTATGTGTGTCTTAATTGTTTATTTATGTATGATGTTGTTGGTATGGAGAAGTGAATGTCCTGTTCCTGATTCGTGGTTTTTTGTTTTTTTCTTCTTCTCATTATATATGATGTGTTTCTTGTATAATAAAATGTGCTGTTCTCGCTGTGCCCTGCTCTTTTCTTTTTTTTTTTCGTTAGTAGAGTGTTTGCTGTGTGCTTCAGCCTACATCCAGTTGGCTCCAAGCATCCTTGCCCGGCTCTCAATAATATCCTAGTGATTACAGGCATGGAAGGTCCATCCATGTGCCCCCTTCTCCTTTCCCTGCTTTTCGTTTTTTTGTCTGAGGGGGGGACAAAAAAAAAAAAATACAGTCTTCTGCCTCTGTCAACCCAGGCTAGAGGTGGCAGTTGGCATAATCTCCGGCTCACTGCAACGCTCTGCCCCCCGGGTTCAAGCAATTCTCCTGCCTCAGCCGCTCCTGAGTAAGCTGGGATTACAAGCGTGTGGCAACCAGCCCAGCCCAATTTTTGTATTTTTAGTAAGAGACAGGGTTTCACCAATGTTGCCAGGCTGGTCTCAAACTCCCTGACCTCTAAGGGATCTGCCCGTCTTGGCCTCCAAAGTGCTGGGATTACAGGCGTGAGCCAGTGTGGCCTGGCCAGGTGCCTGTTCTATACTTATCAGACTTCCTGTAATTAGTGCCTGTTTTGTGAAAATTGGTGAAACTTCTGACTTCCCTTAATACCAGTATTGGTTCAGTCCGTTTCTGGCATCCCTGTCTTCTGGGAGACTTGGGGATCTGTCTGGGCTGCAGCTCGCCTCCCTGGGAAGCTCAGCATCTGTGCTGTGCTGTTTGCAGGAATGACGGGACAGAGTTTGGTGGCTCTATTTACCAGAAAGTGAACAAGAAGTTGGAGACCGCTGTCAATCTCGCCTGGACGGCAGGAAACAGTAACACGCGCTTCGGAATAGCAGCCAGTATCAGATTGACCCTGACGCCTGCTTCTCGTGGGTATCTGTGGAATCACGCATCTCACAGGCAGGCCCATCTGCTCTTTACGTTGGAGTCCTTCAGGTTTGCTGGAGTGCTGTGCTTCAGCTTATTCAAAGTGAGAGATGCTGCTGCGTGCCGGTGGCTCACGCCTGTAATCCCAGCACTTTGGGAGGCCAAGGCAGGCAGATCACTTGAGGTCGGGAGTCTGAGACCAGCCTGGCCAACATGGCAAAACCCTGTCTTACTAAAACTACAAAAATTAGCCGGGTGTGGTGGCAGGCGCCTGTAATCCCAGCTACTCGGGAGGCTGAGGCAGGAGAATTGCTTGAACCCGGAGGCGGAGGTTGCAGTGAGCCGAGACCATGTCACTGCACTCACAGCCTGGTGACAGAGCGAGACTCCATCTCAAAAAAAAAAAAAAGACTCCGTCAAAAACAAAAACAAAGTGAGAGATGTTCCACTTTGAAAAGAGTTCCAAATGAGTACAGTGGATCATACTACTAGTACTTCTTATGGGTACCAGGCACTGTGCAGAGCCTTTTATGTATAGACTGCTGTGTTTAATCCCATTGAAATAGGTGCTTTTTTTTTTATTCATCTCCGGGTTTTTTTATTTCTGTTTTTTTGAGACAGAGTCTTGCTTAGTTGCCCAGGTTGGATGCAGTGGTGAATTACAGCTCACTGCAGCCTCAACGTCCTGTGCTCAAGTAATCCTGCCACACATCAGCTTCCCAGGTAGCTGGGACTACAGGCACACCACCATGCCTGGCTAATTAAAAATTTTTTTTAGTAGAGACAGTGTCTTGCTCTGTTTGCCTGGGCTGGTCTCAAACTCCTGGGCTCAAGCTGTCCTCCGACCTCAACCTCCCAAATGTTGTTGGGATTACAAGCATGAGCCACCATTCCTGGCCAATCATCTCTGTTTTTTTTTTTTTTTTTTTGAGACGGAGTCTCCCTCTGTTGCCCAGGCTGGAGTGCAAGTGGCACGATCTCAGCTCACTGCAGCAACCCTGTCCCCCATACGGCGCGGGTTTTCTTTCTTTTTTTGTAGTCTTCCAGTTCATCGTCGATCTTTCTGGCAGTCCTCCATGTAGCTGGGACCACAGGCACCTACCACCACACCTGGCTAGTTTTTGTATTTTTAGTATAGATAGGGTTTCACCATGTTGGTCAGGCTGGTCTCGAACTCCTGACCTCAGGTGATCTGCCTGCCTCGGCCTCCCAAAATGCTGGGATTACAGGCATGAGCCATGGCCCCCACCCAATCATCTCTGTTTTTACAAATGAGGAACTAGAAGCTTAGAAAGGTGAGTAACTTGCCCAAAGGAACACACTAAGAAAGTGCTGGGGACTGGATTTGAGCCAGACTGGCTTACTGTTGAGCCTCTTCCATTAATACCAGTTCCTGTTCTATAAAGCAGACTGTTAAAAGAGGCACTCTGAAATCTAGGGTTCTGATTGATAATTCCCCCCACCCTCCACTTTTCATTCTCCTTTTCAGCTCCTGCATTGCATATTAAGAAATCAATAGTCAGTTGGCATCTTGCAGACTCTCTGGCATTGCTCACAGGCCCTCAAACTACTTCCCAGTTTTTGCAGTAAATCCTATTGGGCTCATTTCTGTTGTCACAGGGCACTGGAGGTTGTATCTCTTTGGGGTGGAATGAGGGAATCTCATGTTGCAGAATGGTGTCTGTACTGATTTCTGTAATTTATGGACAGCCCATTTTAAGTCTCCTAAACTAGAACCGAATTTGGCTCCCTTAACAGGCACTTAAAAACAACAGAAAAGGAGCCTCATTATTTATATGAGCAAAAGGACACGGGCCCCTAAGAGGCCTTCCTTCTCTCTGCTTTGTTCTTATGAGGGGTGTCAGATCTCAGAACACCATTTGAACAGGAAAGTATGCACCTAAAATTGATATATTTTGTATTGAATTTAATGAATCTCGTGAACAAGATGGTCATAAAAAAATTTGATTCTGAAGTCAAAGGTTGGTTGACTAAAAAGCTCTTATTAATTTTGGAGATGGAAGTGCAAAGTATTATACTTAATGTTTTCTCTGTTTTGTCATTTCCTTGACTAGGCTAAAGTGAACAACTCCAGCCTGATAGGTTTAGGATACACTCAGACTCTAAAGCCAGGTATGTGTTGCTTGTGTGTGAAATCGGTTCTTTGTCTTAAAAAAAATTGTGGTGCTGGTTTGCTGATTTATGTCATTGTTTATAAAATGTTTATATAATACAGTGGGTATATATAAATGGGTATATATAAAGTATAATTAAATGTTTATAAAGGAGTATGGGGTCATTATAAAACATTTGGAGAATATGAGATGTGGCAAGCAGGAGGAAAAAGGCTGAGACTAACATATATTCTTTGCTATTTTCTTCCGTCCTTTTTTCCAATGTGTACATAATGCTTGATACTTATTTCTGGCAGATTCTCAAAACTAACTTATAAATCAGTCCCACTGTAAAAAGACAAAGAAATAGGAAAAGTGGTTTGCAGGTTTCCTCTGCACAGTTGGCTAGGCCAGTCCATGATGTATTCTAATTCTAGCATATAACCACCTTTGAACCCTGGAAATCTAAGATTACCAGCTACTTCCTGAATCAGGTTATTCCAGGGAAGGTCAGTTTGTTGTGTGCATCTGTGGATGTGCATGCACACTACCCATGTGTGTACACTGAACATGAACATGTAAGACCTTAGGTTGGATTCAGGATTGAGGTTTCATTTAAAGGGATGATTGCCAAAGAAGCTTACTGTATGCTACCAGTACTAGAGACTAATTGTACCAGGGGAACAGTGAGAGGAAAAAGGAAAGTGGGGTTCCAGAAGTAGATTTGGGTAGGCTCTCTGGGCGGTGGGATAATTAGTTGTTTCATAAGCCTACTCTAGGATACCTGTTGGTCAGATAGTGCTAAGGAACAAGGATTGAAGGGCCATGTGGACCCTGCTGATAATATCTGGAACAGGTTCTGAATTTGTTGTTAATCTTTCTTGTCATTTCTTTCCTCCATTCCTCCTCCTTTCCTCTCCCTCATTTTTCTCCCTGCAGGTATCAAACTGACACTGTCAGCTCTTCTGGATGGCAAGAACGTCAATGCTGGTGGCCACAAGCTTGGTCTAGGACTGGAATTTCAAGCATAAATGAATACTGTACAATTGTTTAATTTTAAACTATTTTGCAGCATAGCTACCTTCAGAATTTAGTGTATCTTAATGTTGTATGTCTGGGATGCAAGTATTGCTAAATATGTTAGCCCTCCAGGTTAAAGATGATTCAGCTTTAAGATGTTACCCTTCCAGAGGTACAGAAGAAACCCATTTCCAAAAAAGGTCCTTTCAGTGGTAGACTCGGGGAGAGCTTGGTGGCCCCTTTGAGATGCCAGGTTTCTTTTTTATCTAGAAATGGCTGCAAGTGGAAGCTGATAGTATGTAGGCACTTTGTAAATTCATATTGAGTAAATGAATGAAATTGTGATTTCCTGAGAATCGAACCTTGGTTTCCTAACCCTAATTGATGAGAGGCTCGCTGCTTGATGGTGTGTACAAACTCACGTGAATGGGACTTTTTTGGACAGATCTTCATGACCTGTTCCCACCCCAGTTCATCGTCACCTCTTTTACACCAAAAGGTCTGCAGGGTGTGGTCACTGTTTCTTTTGTGCCATTTTGGGGTGGAGAAGGTGGATGTGATGAAGCCAATAATTCAGGACTTATTCCTTCTTGTGTTGTGTTTTTTTTGCCCTTGCACCAGAGTATGAAATAGCTTCCAGGAGCTCCAGCTATAAGCTTGGAAGTGTCTGTGTGATCGTAATCACATGGTGACAACACTCAGAATCTAAATTGGACTTCTGTTGTATTCTCACCACTCAATTTGTTTTTTAGCAGTTTAATGGGTACATTTTAGAGTCTTCCATTTTGTGTGGAATTAGATCCTCCCCTTCAAATGCTGTAATTAACATCACTTAAAAGAAACTTGAATAAAATATTGAAACCTCATCCTCCTTCTGTTGTCTTTATTAATAAAATATAAATAAACAGGGCATTTATTTAGATTTGTTTTTTGTCTCCATGCTCTGTGTATGTATTATATATTATTCGTTTTCACTCGCTGTATTACAGATTACCATAAATTTAGCTGCTTAAAACAACACTCATTTATTTTACAGTTCTGCAGGTCGAAGCCAGGCAGGTATGCATGCCTACCTGGGCTCTGCTTAGGTTCTCACGATGCTGAAATTAGGGTGTCGACTAGGCTGTCTTCTCATTTTATCTAGGGGCTTGGCGTCCTCTTCCAGGCTTACAGCGTTGTGGTGGAATTCAGTTATTTTCAGTTGTGGGATAGAAGTCCCTATTTCTTTGTTGGCTGAGGCACTCTCAGTGCTTAGAGGACACCAGCATTCCTTGCCACGTGGTCCCCTACATCGCCAAAGCCAGAAACAGAAAAACTCCCTCATGTGAAATCCCTCTCACACTTCCAGTCTCCTCCAGGAAGAGCCCCAAAGCTTTTAAGGACTCACCTGATCAGGTTAGCCCACCAAGGGTAATCGCTCTTTCTTCAAGTTCACTGCCAGGTAAAGTAACCTAATCACTGGTAATATCCTTTCATATTTGTAGGTCCCTCCATATGGGTCATGGGAAGGGGTGATTTTGGAATTCTCCCATATATTTATATATTTTTAATAACTTGATTGTGGAATTTTTTTTTTTTTTTCTTTTTTTTGAGACGGAGTTTCGCTTTTGTTGCCCAGGCTGGAGTGCAATGGTGCACAATGTTGGCTCACTGCAAGCTCTGCCTCCTGGGTTCAAGTGATTCTCCTGCCTCAGCCTCCCGAGTAGGTGGGATTACAGGCATGTGCCACCACACCTGGCTAATTTTGTATTTTTAGTAGAGACGGGGTTTCTCCATGTTGGTCAGGCTGCTCTCGAACTCCTGACCTCAGGTGATCCGCCCGCCTTGGGCTCCCAAAGTGCTGGGATTACAGGTGTGACCCACTGCGCCTGGCCGATTGTGGAAATTTCAAACACAAAGAATAGTAATAAACTCTATGCATGATCCAGCTTCAACAAATACGAACATTTTTTTACATTCATGATTTTTCAGCAGAATTTTTTTTTCTACGTTTGAAAGTGACATTCAAAACAGGAACCGTCTATTTTTAGCATTTTATGCAACTGATCACCCAAAAACTGTGGGTCTCAGTATTTGACCTACTGTCTTCAGGAACTTGCAGCTATTTCTAAGTGAATGTTCATAGAATTTGTCCAGAGATTATGGCACATAGTGGTTGCTGGGTACATCTAGTCAGATGTCAGGTACAGGTTTTTTGGTTTTTTTTTTTGAGACAGCATCTTGCTTTGTTGCCCAGGCTGGAGTGCAATGGTGCACAATGTTGGCTCACTGCAAGCTCTGCCTCCTGGGTTCAAGTGATTCTCCTGCCTCAGCCTCCCGAGTAGGTGGGATTACAGGCATGTGCCACCACACCTGGCTAATTTTTGTATTTTTAGTAGAGATTGGGGTTTCTCCATGTTGATCAGGCTGGTCTTGAACTTCCAACCTCAGGTGCTCCACCTGCCTTGGCCTCCCAAAGTATCGGAATTACAGGCGTGAGCCACCGTGCCCGGCCAGCTACAGTATTAAAATATTTTAGAGACAGAGTTTCACTCTGTCAGCCAGGCTGAAGTGCAGTGGCATCATAATAGCTCACTGTAGTCTTGAACTCCTGGGCTCCAGTGATCCTCCCGTCTCAGCCTCCTGAGTACTTGAGATTACAGGCACAAGCCACCATGCCTGGCCCTAAAATATTTAAAAATGTATAAAGGGTTCTCGAGTATGAGGGAATATTTCCCTCACTAGTTACTTATTGTCTGCCTGTTGCATGCAGCATGTTGGAATATCATTGTGCAAAATGCCTTGAGTTCATAATACCTCACCAGTTAAGAGAACTGAGACAATCTGGTATGAGGACACAAATGGACAAAGTGGACAATGAGTCAGGGAAGAGGACTGCAGTGTGTTTATTTTTATTTATATTTTTTATTTTTTATTTTTTTGAGACGGAGTTTCGCTTTTGTTGCCCAGGCTGGAATACAGTGGCGCGATCTCGGCTCACTGCGAGCTTCGCCTCCCGGGTTCACGCCATTCTCCTGCCTCAGCCTCCTGAGTAGCTGGGACTACAGGCGCCCACTACCGCGCCCGGCTAATTTTTTGTATTTTTAGTAGAGACGGGGTTTCACCGTGGTCTCGATCTCCTGACCTTGTGATCCGCCCGCCTCGGCCTCCCAAAGTGCTGGGATTACAGGCGTGAGCCACCGGGCCCAGCCGCAGTGTGTTTATTATAGATGAACTTTAAAGTCAACAAGCAGAAACTAAGATTGAGAAACTCATTTGTTGAACTGAGTGGTTTTACAGAAAACTTGAGTACAGCTCAAAGAAGGGAAGCTCCTGGGGGACTGGGAGGACTTTGCACCTTGGCTAAGGTGGAGAGTTTCCAATAACGACACCATTCAGTCTATGTGGGCTTCTGGGGGATTTTGGGAAATGTGCAGATGAATGACTTCTTAGTTTTCTTAACACAGAGTTTGTGTGTTTCTGAGCTGTCACCAGGGTGAGATAAAAGCTTAGGGGAAACCAAATTCAGGAGTAGAACACAGGCCCTTTAGAGAGGCAGCTCAGCTGTGTCTCTGTGGGATGACAGCAATCTTCGCAGGGAGTCATAGAGACCAGAGTGGTGAAGCTGTGGGTACAATAAATGTCTTGCTTAACCGTCACATTGATTTTCCTGAAATTGATCAAATGGAACTTTTATGAATTGAAGCCTGTATCTGTTTATTAAGGAGACATTCACAGAACGTACACACAGAGCAAAGTATGGTGCCAGGGCCCTAGGTGAACTTCTTGGAAGTTTGTAAGTTTGCATTTTTATATACTGGGGATTTGAAGTAACAAAATTTAAAAAGAGAAGCTTATTTTAGGAAATCGAAGTTATTTTCAATGGCAGCCCCTCACCCCTACTTCCTAGCTACCTACCTTTCCTCCACAATTTTTTTTTTTTTTTGAGACAGAGTCTCTCTCTGTGGCCCAGGCTAGAGTGCAGTGGCATCTCGGCTCACTGCAGCCTCCATCTCCCGAGTTACAGCGATTCTCCTACCTCAGCCTTCTCAGTTTAGCTGCGATTACAGGCACGCGCCACCACGCCTGGCTAATTTTTGTATTTTTAATAGAGATGGCGTTTCTGCATATTGGCCAGGCTGGTCTCGAACTCCTGACCTCAGGTGATCCGCCTGCCTCGGCCTCCCAAAGTGCTGGGAGCCACTGCACTCGGGCCGGTCCATAATATCTTTATCATCTTGTATAGTGTGTATTTTATACCACAGTCGCCCTCACAAGAAAATAAACTCTACCAAGGCTGGGGGTGCGTTTTGTTCAGTGCTGTATCTTAAATAGGGAGAGGTGCTAAATCTTTTGTTGAAAAAAAAAAATAATTGTGGGGAAAGATTATTAAAAATTACTTATAATCCCATCACCCAAACACAAACATTTGTGTTTCTTTCGCCTTTGAGAGAGGAAGAGCAGTTAGTTACTTCGCTTTCGTGATCAGCCTATTCTACAGCTTGATCTTCTTTTTTAAAATGGCTAAAAACGCTTTTTTTGGCTGTATAGTACCCAATCACGCAGGCGGCAGGGAGGGGCTCGCTTTGGCCCTCTTAAGCATGTTACATTCTACCTTTAACCCGCAGCCGAGTGTGTAACAGCCCCCACACTCGCCAACTGCAACTCCCTCCTCGCCGAAATCCTTTCTTTTTATTCCGGTTTCCAGAGCACGTCTCTAGGCTTCGACGTCACCACGCTGGGCCGTAAGTGCCGAGGGCCGCGGCGTCTGACGTCATGGCGTAGAGCCTAGCAACAGCGCAGGCTCCCAGCCGAGTCCGTTATGGCCGCTGTCGTCCTGAAGAGGATGAGGGGGTCAGAACAAACGAAACTGCTGCCCGGGTCTGCCATCCAAGCCCTTGCGGGGTTGGCGCGGCCGCTGGTCTTGGCGCTCCTGCTTGTGTCCGCTGCTCTATCCAGTGGTAAAGGGGGCGCGGCGGCCGTGCGGGCTTAGCAAGGCTGACAGGGCTCGGGGGCAGTCCAGGAGACAGGCTGGGCCAGGGAAAGGGCACTTCCGAGTGTCAGGAGCAGTGTCTGGTTGGGGCAGGGTCTCCGCGGGCCTGAGAAAGGAGAGTATGGTGTCTGAAGGGGTCCAAGGTGGTAGGGTCTCCAAAGGGCCGGAGCAGTGGGGTCCCTGAGAGATGCAGGGACCCTGGGAGCAGGGAGCAGGATGTGTAGATGGGCGGGAAGGGAGGAGTGGTGTTGGCGCCTAGAGGTCGTTGAAGAATGGGCTGCCACAAGGAATGGCAGTGGTGGGGTCTCCAAAATTTCTTGGATCGGAAAGTTAGGAGACTCTAGAAGAGAGAGTAGTGACAGGAGCTGAGGAGATGGCCGAGTCTGGGGATGTGGTGTCTGGAAAGGGTCCTGAGATTGGGGGACTCAGGAATCTTGCAGGACCAAGGAAAGGTGGGGATTTTCCAGAATGGGAGAGGTCAGTGGTAAAGACCGAGGCGGGCAGGGGCAGTAATCCAGTGACTGAACTGAGCCAATGGAATATTTCCGAGAGGGAAAGTGAAAGGGAAAGAGCTGTCTTCGGGTACTGGTGCATATTTGAGGCCTGGGAGGTTCTGGTGTTTGATAAAGACTCAGAGTACTGGGGCGTTGGGCCTCTGAAGGCCTGGGAGGTGGAGAGGAGTTTGGGGACAAGGGAGATCATGATTCCTCTTCCCTGTGTTCTGGGTTAACCAGGATAACCCTGCCTCATTTTATTGAATCTGTAGGATTTGATTGATAAAAGTTTTCATTTCTTGCAAATGTTGCATGGCGAAATCAAGAGATTGAAGGCTTTTATTGAGAAATTAGGAAATCTGTAAACCAGTGTCTGATACTTGGTGGGAAAAATCCACTA